CGCTGTCACTACCGGATCCGTACCGGAAACCTGATCAGTACTCCGCATGCGCAAATCTTCCGTCACTTCCTCTCGTTGCCAACATTGCGAGAGTTAATGTATTTGAGTGACACGGTTAGCGCCCAGTTAGCTCTTAGCATTTCTCAGCAGCTCTGCCTGCTTTTCGACTGCCCGGGACATTTAAACAATGGAGAATCCGTTTACAAACAAATTCATGCTTTTCTCGTCCCCCGATTGAGCAACAGCACCGTAAAATAGAAAGAATGGCGCCTACTTACAGACTTAATAATACTGACTGAGTAATGTGTCACGTGAAGATTCATCAGCCAGATGAAGTGTTTACTGACAACTGACAGTGACAGCAGACATCATCATCACTATTCCAACAATCCTCTCCACACAGACGAGCATAAACACACTTGACTGTCACTAAATCAGATTTAACACGCGTTTGACGCTAATTCAGTTTACAATAGGGTTCGTTCGCTCGGTCAGCAGGTGGCGGTATCCTCGTACACTGTACTGCACGGTCCAACTTTGCACAGGCGCAGTAAGGACCGGGGAGTCCTGATCCGTAACTATCGTGTTATTTTTCGTTTTTGTCTACATTATATTGAAATGCTTCATTATTGCAAACAATTTAAGAGATATTTATTATCCTTCAAATCTTGAGAGATACTTTGACCCGTAACTATCGTAAAATTGGCTCTGATATGGTGCAGGAAAATGTACAGGCATATTTAAAGTTCAAAGGATGTTAGTACGATCACCGACTCGTTACACTGTAACATCTGTGTTTGATCACAGCGAGCAACACTGGGATGTGTGGTAGCCTGTGTGCTTATGCAGTGAGCTAATGTTTCAGTCATTTCACAGAAGCGCTGACGTGTGCGTGTAATCTATTACTGACACGATCAGCACAGGGAGGAGACGCACTTGATAACATTTGATCCACAGCACGTCTTTGACATTCTGCTTGGTGATGGAGCCAATCAGAATCGATCAGGTGTGTGTGTCTACCCCAGCCTCACTTACCATCAAACCTCTCTGAGGGCACAGCGTTGTCGATGGAGGGCGGCACTGATGTGTGCTCCTTCTTGAACTTTTCAAATGCTTTTCTATTTATTTCATCTTTCTGCACCGGATCTGTGGATGAGACCGTAAACAGCAGCAGGTCAAAGCATCCATGCGCCTACAGATAAATCGTGGTACGCTGAGGTTTCTTTGTGAGCTTACCGAGTCGTTGCAGGTTCTTGGCTTTGTTGATGACGTCTTTGGCCGTCCTCTTCATGCCGCTGGTGGAGTGCGTGTTCATATAGTCAGCAATAACCTCCCACCTAGGAAACACGAAACAAGCTTTATTGACACACAGTTCCTCGATTGACGCCGGCTGTAATTCCGAGCGCTCACCTGGCGTTGGTTCCAGCAGGGAACAGGTTCACTGCTTTTATGAGCAGCTGGAGGTCCTCTTCGTTCCAGCCCTTCCCCCCGCCTGCTCCCCCGCTGGCCTGCTCAGAGCTGCGAGCCGCCTGCCTGGCCTGGATCTCAGCCTCCCTCTCCTTCTGCAGCTGAGCATTCACCTCCTGCACCTGAGGAAACAGCAGCAACCTGTTTGTTGATGTGCTGGCTCCTGATGGTCTCCGGCTTCAAACCTGAGGCGCTACAAAGAAAAAGTTCCTCTACCTGCTTTTCCACTGCTGCCTTGTTCTCCTCTTTAGAGCCCGAAGCCAACTCTTCATTGAGGGACTGTAGGCTGGAAAGAAACAACACACATGCGTCACATCTCATCAAATGCACTGCTGAAGCTTTATGAAATAATAATTACACTAAATCTTAATTCAAGCCTGTAGTTTGGCACATTGTGTCAAACCAGAAAGTTCTTCACACTTGTAATGAAACCACCGGCTCTTCTGTGTGCCAGAGAACTGCTCCTGCCTGCAGCTGCAAAGAGTTCCTCTCCAACACTGAAAGCTTTCAGCTGCAGATGAGCAAACCTGACCCGATGTTTCACAGATGATATCCCAGGTCATTCCTTTCATTTATATGGTAAGCTGTTTAAATGTAACCAACATTATCAACAGCTTTACGCTCATCCAGGATCATCTCATGGTGGAAACCTGAATCCAGTTTGTTTCTTCAAAGTCGAGCAAGAAAACAAAAAGCATCACGCCCTTTGGCGACGGCGGCCCTTTGGCGACGGCGGCCCTTTGGCGACGGCGGCCCTTTGGCCCCTTTGGCGCCTT